TTTTGGAGCCGTCTCATAAGCATCTGATATGTAACTAAACTGGGTTACTTTGTGGGCTGACGAAGTTAGGGCTCTGTGGATTTGGGTTTTAATCTTGCAATTATAAATACCTCAGTATATGTTAAACCTAGGGTTACATATTGTCGTAGCTTTTACACGAAAAAGTCTGCCAAATAGAGAGAGTTACAGAGGGAGCTTTGGTGAGAACAGAGCTGTTTGTGAGAATTTCGACTGGGGTTCCAAGGTTTAACCAAGGAGAAGGAAGGAGTAGAGGTTCTAGGAGGTTAGACAAGTTTCAGTGGATGTCAAAAAAAACTGAGACCAACGGCAACAAGGGTTTGTTTGCAAACCTATTCAGGCAAGTTCTATCTTCCTCTTTCCCTTTGGGCCGTGTTCTGTGCACCTGGATAATCTCTAGGGTTTAATCAAGCAGAAACTGGAATTGATATGTTTATTATGTGTTATATTGTTGGTCTGTATGTGTTGAAATCAATATCTGTTACAGTGTATGTAAGTGTTGTTTCAGTTTTCTGTACTTTAAGCATATGGTTTCTATCATAGCCTTAGTTTCTGTATTTGATTGCAACTCTTGTAGACACAATATAGGAACTCTACTGGGGTTATACAAAAATTATAGGGATGTTATTATTCTGTTTTAATTACGTGTGCAATCTGTTCTGTTTCTATTTCTGCATATAGTTTCAGTTTTGATACTAAAAGCTTGGTAAGTTCAATAGCAACCTTAAGCTTTTTAATTGATTTAAATTACTGTAATCAAACCTTGGAGATGTTAATAGAGTGATAATAAACCTTTAAGATCAGTTTAAGAAATAAACAGAAGGGTAGGGACTGACCAGAGAACGAGCAGATAGGTAAAAACGGAGCAGAAATGAACTGGAGGCTCTCAAGAGGGAGAGAGCCGGCTTTAGAAAGTCAAGAGCCGGCTCCCCTTCAGCAAGAGCCGGCTCCTAGGGAATTGGAGCCGGCTCCAATAGGGGAAGAGCCGGCTCTTCCATTCCAAGAGCCGGCTCCAATTTGTTTTACGTCCAGAAAGTGTTTTATAGGGCTCTGTTTGGTGTTTTGAGCACTGTTTGAGCTTCTGAGTGATTCTAATGAACTGTTGGGACTTAACAGAGGATCTAAGTAGTTAATTCTAAGTGTTATTAAACTTATTGTTGTATGGTTTAAGTCTCTAAGACAAAGGATGAAGCAGTGTAAAAATATACAACGGTGTATGCTACTAACAGAGAAAGGAACTAAATGGCTTGATTAAATTTTAGAAATTTAATGGGACTTCACGGAGGAATTAAATAGTTAATTTTTGGGTGTTATTAAGACCCTAAATTGATTTAAGGTTAATTCTAAATTAACGGATCAAACTGTATAACACTTATGTACAATTGTATACGGTTGGTGGATGGATAAAGTTTTAAATACTTAAGCTTATTTTTAGGCATTCCAGTTGGATTTAATATATTTATAAAATGGTTTTAAATATATTATAGGGTCATTGATGTGTTAGATGTGATCTATGCAGGCTCTAGATGTTAGTTGTTGATTTATTAAATCATCTCCTGCAACTATATGGTTAATTGTTTGGATTTAAATTGCTGAAACACTTAAAAATCTTCTGTAATTATTTGGATATTGGTTTTGGTTTTTAAATTATTGTACTATTATTTATAGCCTGTAATTTACATGGTTTTGGATTTAAGTTATTGGAATACTAAATACTATTCTGCAATGATATGGATGGTTGGTTTTGGACTATAAGTTACGTGCTTATTATTTATGCCTTGTAATTTACCTGGAACTATGTATTGGAATATAATTGCTAAATTCTTATACTTAGTTCGGTCAATTATTTGGAATCATATATTGGATTATAATTGCTGAATTCTTATATTAAATTTGACCAATTATTTGGAATTATGTATTGGATTTTAATTGCTGAATTCTCACATTAAAATTCTGTCAATTATCTGGGTTTGGTTTTGCATTGTAAATTACTTGCTTATCATTTGAATGTTGTAATTTACATGGATATGGAGGATGGTATGCACCGGTATGGGACGGTGGCATACTAGGTATGGTTTAGCTCAAAATGCTAATTCCTACCTTATGGATTTTAATTGGTGAACAGTATGACTGGTTCTATCAATTATATGGACTTTGTGGATTGTATGCACCGGTATGGGACGGTGGCATACTAGGGACAGACTGATTTAAAATACTCAGTCCTACCTATTTTGGAATAAGGGAACGGGTTGTTAAATAAATCCTCCTTATATATGTATAAGTCGGTACGGTTGAATACGCCGAATGACTTATTGAATTTCTTGTGAATGGTTAGGAACGGAGTTTAGATATATATGTTTATGGTACCACGAGTTGAGCTCGAGTCTCAAACTTGTTGGTTAGGGTGCGTATATGCAGTGGATGTGTAGCTGGTTATAGTAGGTTGGGTGTACCCTGTTAGGTCTAGGTACTCATGCCCACCTTTGGGTGCGTATTCGCATGTTGTCTTCTATTCAGGTTGAGATCCCTACTATAGTTCAGTGAAGGTCCCATGGTGTGGATATATATATGTATAGACTGGATAGATATTGTGAGGTATATATGGTGTATCTGCGTATCGGGTCACTGTATGGATTGCAGTTAGATTAGAACTTGTTCGTGGGCCTGACCCACCCTTTTATTATTTTTTTCAGGTGTTCGTCGGTTCTGGGCTGTAGAGCTTGATCGTGCTGAGCAGATACAATTATTCACTCTACTGATGGCGTAGGATTTTATTTCATGTTAAGACTTGGGTTTTGTTCCAGTCTTTTGAGTACCCTTGGATATTTTAGGGGTCCACTAGATAGATTCCTGAGTTGTATAAATTGGAGAATGATTTCCATTCGTGGGGGATCAGTTGTATCAAAATAGTTTTAATTATCAATGGAATTATTTATTCTGAGGTTTTCAATTATTGGATTATCATTCTAGGTTCTTTTCAGCAAAATTTTATTCATTCTTGTTTTCTATATTGTATTCTGTGTTCATTAAATTGCTAATTGTTTTGATATCCTCGGGTAATCGGGCGTGGGCCTGGCCAACCCGCATCCGGAAATCCGGGGGTATCACACGTCTCACCTATGCAAGAGAGCTGTTCGGGCTCAGCCGAGCTTGATCTAGTAGGCTCGAGCTCGACTCGGCAATTTTTTAATAAGCTCGAGCTCAACTTGGTTCGGGCTCGCATGTGTATACATATATTAGGGTAAAGTGCATTAAACATCTCTCAATTAAATACTGCCCTGAACTATAAAAAATGTGCATTTAAGGTCAAATAGTCAAATGGCAGTGACCGGACATACAAATTAACTATTTTGCCCCTATATGAAATGACGTCATATCATGCTTATGGGCTTAAAAAATAATAATCTTAACTACCAATTACATTTGCCAATTTATCCCATCTTTATCATCTTATCTCATCATTATTAAGGGCAAATCCATTATCTCCAGCACACTGCAATTCATCTCTGTAATCATTTGTGAGAAAGAGAGTGTGAGACATATAATATGTAAAATTTATATTCAAAGCATCTCAAACACATAAAGAACAAATAATTCATCCACCCAAAACAAAATTCAAGAGAGAAAAAACTCAAGGCCCAAATTTGTAAACATAAATTTATCTGAAGGGATCAATTATTTACTACTGTAAAAAAAAATATATATATATATATATATTTATCAAACAATAATTCTATAAGAACTTCCAACTTTATGCATTCTAATCTATGAAATAATAATCTTATTAAAAAATTGCTAATCTAATGCACATTCTAAATTTTATTTTTCTAAAATTGAGTATAACAGAAATGAGAAACCCCTAACAATTTGACTTTTCAGACTATTTGAACAATTTAATAAGATTTATGTTATTTGTGGTCACTGCACTCAGCAATTCTGTTGCAATAAATATATATACATATATATATTGCAATATATATATATATATGTGTGTGTGGTAAGCCACCATTCTCTTTCCATTCTTTTTTATTTTATTTTTTGGAACGTTGGCCACCAGACTACGAGTGGGCAGTTTCTTGCCGGAATAATAGAGTATGTATGTAATCAACAAAAAAATCTGTTGTAATTTCCCATGGCTTAGATGAGAATATGATTTGGGCTGAGTTAGTTAATTAAATGGACTTTATTTGTTAACTGGGGTTACTAATTGGGCCGATGAAATATTATGAATTAGGCCTGCACTCGTACATATGGTTGAGTTTTTAAGTACATTTATATGTAAAAATTATGGGCTTTGTTTGGGTGAATTAATGAAATGGGGGTAGCATGGTAATTTGGCTCAAACAGTGAAAGATTATTTTGTGCAACAAACTCTAATGAACAGTGAAAGTACATTCTTCGTATCATTAATTTGATCAATTTTATTTTTTAGAAACTATAAGACTTTGACTACGTAATATTGTAAATATAGGCTCGTAAGTACATTTATATGTAAAATTCCTTATATGTAACAAGAGCTTGCTAAACTAGCCTGAAAAATGATGAGTTCGATTAAACTAATGAGCTTGAGCAGTAACTGTTTATGAACAAATTATTTGAGTTTGAGTAGTAATTTATTTTATATAGTATAAGTTAGAGCTTACTAACCAAATTAAATATTGTTTAAACTCAACTCTATTATTAAACAAGTCTGAAAAATAAACTCGACCTCTACTTAATTATTAAAAGAATGAGCCTGAACACAAACTGTTTATGAAACTATCGGTCGATGTGCAGCTCTACTCGAAATATTTATTTTTGTCATAAAAAAAAAAAAATTGAACCATAAGCACAAAAAATTATGAACAAGCATGTGATCACAGGCGAAGCTTTACAAGTCAGCTGTACATCAAAAGCGAACCTGACCTACTGCAACCGGCCTAATCGGTAGTCAGCCGTTGATATCACACTGAATTAGCAGTAGGACAGGCGTGGAAAGATCTGCACCGTCATTTTCGATTTGCAAACCACTGCAAATCTGGCTCACTAAAGCTTGAAAACATCCATCAATGGTCGACTCCTATAAAGTTCATACTATAATTACCAATGGACCACTGAATTTCAGTGTCATACTACTGTAGTATTTATTTGTCGGCAAGTAAAAGTTCAGCTGAGCAACAAGATTCTTTTTATTCCCTTTTCTTTTTTTATTTTTTTTGTGAAGATTTGATTCGTACGTTCAATGGTCGGTTAGGGTTTTCATTTTTCAGATTAAACAATAGGAGGATTCAACTTCACGCTTCTAAAGTTACAGTTTCTTTGTTTTCTTTTCGCCACGAAATTACATTCAATCTTGTGATTTAAACAACACCCTCACACCTCTCTCTCTCTCTATATATAGATAGACACACACACATATATATAAATAAATTGCTATTCTGAAACAATGTCAGTTCATAATGAAGTTGATATTAGTGTGAATCTTCTGATTCAATCAAATCTCTCTCTCACTTACTCAAACCTCTCTTAATTACTAGTTCTATTTAGAGCTTGATATTGTACGTTCTTTCTCTTTGGCGTATTTGATCGGTCATTGTGGTTGCGTTCGTAACACGAATCTTCTCTCTCATAAAAAAAGGTTATTATTATTCCTGATGAAGCTTCGAGTCGCTAAATAACTGTGATTCACATGCAAATGTCGGAAGTTACAGGATCGAAGTCATGGAGGGACGAGCTCGTGAGTCTCGTAGAGGATTCCGGGATAAGATACACCAGCGAGGCAATCGGAATTTCAACTACGCCCGCTTTTGAAATGAAAAGATCGGGATTCGTCGCCGGAGACTCGCCGGAAGGCGAGTTGGCTGAATCGGAGAGCTTGAAGGATCAGGTTAAAGAATTCGCGAAAGCTTGGGGCGAATTGATTCTTGAATTGGGAAAGGGTTGTAGGGATGTAGTGCAACAGAACTTTGTGACCGAGGATTCTTATGTTGTGCAAAAGATGAGGGAACCAATGGCTAAGGTTTCAAGTAAATTGCGATTTTTGAACGACTATTTGCCGGAAGATCGCGACCCTGTTCACGCATGGCCGGTCATATTTTTCGTCTTCCTCCTTGCGTTTGCAGGTAATTTCAGAATCATTGCATGATTGTTATCACATCAACACATACTAGGGACCTTTTTTTGGCAATCACATTTGCTGCTTATTGGTTGTGGAACAAACTTGATGAATTCTAGCTTATTTGTATTGGTCCTGATTTAGTTTGCAAATTTTGGGGTCATCTACAAAGTTGTCATAATTTCATTTTACAGTGAGGTAATTGATTATCATGAAAAATAAAGGTTGTCCTAATTGCCTTAATTTGAAAAAATCAATCAGACTCCCCCAAAAAATTGATTTAGAAATAAATTAATGCTTGTGGTCTGATTTATTGAAAAAATTTAGTGTCCTCTTTACTCGTTTTCTCTACGGAAATCATTTGCTTATTTCCATTTTTTGAGACAATAAGTTAGGGTTCAAGATTCTTGGGCTAGAAGCCTAGACTATATTCAATCCCAGATTCGTGTTCATCAAAATTGCGTTCTTGATCTCAATACGGAATTGCTAGCAATGGATACCAGCATTTCTTGGGAAATTGAGTTTAGGCTGGGCTTGGGTATAATATAGTTGCTATTGCTGCACCTCAACTCATTTTTCAAATGAGTGACACTTATTTTTATTTTTTATATTTATATTTTCTCTTTTGCTGGGTGGATGACACTTCATCCATTACCTTTTTAATACAGGATGCATTCGGTTTAGGGTTTTAGGGTTTAGGTTTCAGGGCTGAGTTAATTAAACTTTTAAATAAATTTAAAGATTACTTTGCTGTCATCCATGACTTTCAAGGGAGATGAATTTTGAATTCTGTAATAAAAATCTAGGGATAATGATTATAAAGCTTGAGCTTGTATAAAAGCTTGAGGTGCAAGCTGTTGTATCTATAGGTGCCATACCATGTGAAGATACTTAGTTAAGTAATGGGGCAACCTGAATATGAGGGCTTGCTCAAGCTTATGTAAGCTATAGTTGTTCTTAAATTACCCACAATCAATAATGGTGAAATCCTATTCATACTTCACCTTTCTATGTTGTGAATTTGTTCTTACATTTGAATCCTGATAATTCGTTAGCTATGATATTTATGTGTTTCTTCTCTGTATTGTTGGCTATGGGCCTAGAGAGTTCATCACACAATACTGACCATTTTAGTTTTAATACTCATGGAAGGACAAACTTCTTCAATTCTTTCTACTTTTTTGTTGTTATCCCTACTTGACATATTTTTGACAATTTTAAACATGTGCAGCACTGAATGTAAATAATAAACATGATAGCTCAGTTCCACTGGTTAAGAAAGTATACATACATCCTCCTAGTGCTATGCGTATACCACTTCCAGATGGTAGATACATGGCATACCGTGAGCTTGGTGTTCCCGGCAACAGAGCTAGATTTTCTCTGATTGTTCCACATAGCTTTTTGTCCTCCCGGCTAGCAGGTAAATATTTTGTAGTTGCATTTTCAATGATGCATTTTGAATCCTAAAGATGTTAAATCTATTCAGGAAATGCAGTCGAATGTTTGCTATTGGTCAACTTTGGGCAGAATTGTCATGATAACACATTATGATTTTGTAAAATAGTGTTTATTTTTTTATGAAAGGTATACCAAGAGTTAAAATGTCGCTGCTGGAAGAGTTTGGGGTTCGCATGATTACTTATGATCTTCCTGGTTTTGGGGAGAGTGATCCTCATCCCAAAAGGAACCTTAACTCGTCAGCTCTGGATATCTTATACTTGGCAAATGCTATAGGAATACATGACAAGTTTTGGGTGTTGGGGTACTCAAGCGGAGCCATGCATGCTTGGGCTGCACTCAAATACATTCCCAATCGAATTGCAGGTATGCTTTGATATTTGTCTTTTATCATATCTATAAAAGTATAGCATAACCATACTTCTCATTACCTGTTTGGGTAGTTCAAGTGATCTTACAATGAAACCAGGGTTGAAAATTCATTAATGTACCTTAAATTCTGGTCATGACCCTACCACAGCCAACTCCTTCAAAGCCTATAATCCAACCCTCTCTCTCTCATTTATCTTTTTATAGAAGCCATTAATTTAGAAGCTCCAAAAAGCATAGAGAAAATCTGAAGAGTAACACTGGACTTGGCAATGAAAGACTGCAAGACACTTTCCTGGTGGGGGATAAATGCGGGACTAATAAGATGAAATTATGAGGTTTTCTTTTACCGAAAAAAGGAAAGGAGAGAAGAAAAAGGGAACCCCTCATAACCAGATATAGGTTTATGGCATGCCCTTACAATTCAATAATTACTTCTTGTGGTTATGCACGTAATGAACTTATGTTTCCATAGTCGGTTAAGATATATAATTTGGTTATTTGGTGGAAAGGTTTTGTTGACTTGATCTTATCTTTGAGTATTTTACATGTACAATGAAATATATGAAGATTGACCCGCAGGGATTCAAGACCAACTTTCTCTCTCTCGACTTATTGCTAGAAAGCCAACCTCTTTGCATTTAATAATGTACACGATAGAGGCAATGGAGGAATAGGATGATGATGATTATTATATAGCTATTATATTTTTTTTCCTCCTGAAAAAACTAATGTGGGTTCAATCTAGCTTCCTTTTTTTATTTTTTATTTTTTTTATTTTAATTAAGAAAAAAAGAAAAACAACTCTAATAACATATTATCTGGTAATAATTTTCTTTGATATATTATTGCTGATTTTGCAGGTGCAGCCATGTTTGCTCCAATGGTTAATCCATATGAATCTACCATGACTAAGGAAGAGATGTCTAGAACTTGGGAAAAGTGGGTTCGGAGGAGGAAGCTAATGTTCTATTTAGCTCGAAGGTTTCCCAAATTTCTCGCTTATTTTTATCGCCGATGTTTCTTATCTGGAAAGCATGGTCAGATAGATAAGTGGTTATCTGTGTCACTGGCAGAGAGGGTAATTCTATCTTGAATCTCTGCACATATATATTTTTTTAAAATTAAAAATTGATCATATGCACTCCAGTTTTAAATGTGAACTTTCAAATATCTTGAGCTTTAGGTGACATCAGTCTCCATTGTAAAATTGAGGTTTACAGATGACTACTCAAGTGATTTAATATCAGAGAAAAGTTAAAACATGTTCCAACTGTTCAGAATTTATATATTGCTTACTTCAGCAGTACAGAAACTGCAGCAGAAGTCTTAATCAATAAAGAACGCAACAAAAACAGAATGGCTTTAATCACTTTAGTTACAATCAGATTCATTTGGTCTGGAAACTCCTTTGGATTTGCATCTTTCTTCCTAAATGAGATTCTAATTTTTTTCACTGACACCAATTTTTTTGATTGATCTCTTCTATGGGAAAAGAAAACTAATTAGATAACAGATAAAGGCATGCTTGATATGTCCCTATTCATGGCTTTGGAAAAAAAAAAGGGAAACATGATATATAATAGCATTAACAACTGATTCAATTAAAAATTTATTGTCCTGTGATATGCTAAACAGGGTAATGAAGCCTGATGCTTCTTTGGACATCATATTGCATTATTATAAGATTCTCATTGCAGTTTTTGGTGTGCTTATGGGCAACACCCTTTGGGTGTAGCATGTTGTAAACGTCGACTAATAACCTAAGAACTTTAAAATGATATTGATGTGCTAAATCTCGTTATGGCATTCTGACTTCTGGGTTATACCTTAATATTTTTAGTATGCTTTTTAAAAACTTCTAACTATTGCCTCAAAACTGATGTTTTCAGTACAAAGATCTTATATTCTCTTATTGATAAACTACTTCGGAACAAGTTGTTATTATCTGTGATAATACTGTGGGGCATGACTGGCATATAAATTTTACTTGAACCTATAAAGAAAAATCCACAGTAAACTCTGAGTGAAAAATAACTTTTTTTTTTAATCAGATGGCTTGAATAAAAACAATTGCTTTATTTAGGATAGAGCTCTGATTGAAGAACCAAGGTTTGAAGAATTCTGGCACAGGGATGTTGAGGAGTCAATCCGCCAAGGAAATTCGGAACCGTTCATACAGGAAGCCGTGCTACAGGTCTCAAATTGGGGTTTTAGCCTGGCAGATCTTCGAGTGCAGAAGAAGTGCCCAGGGAAAGGCATTCTCCCATGGCTCAAGTCCATGTATAGTCAGGCAGAGTGTGAATTGACTGGATTTCAGGGCCCAATTCATATATGGCAGGTTTGTATTACCGCCCCTCCTCGCCCATTGGATGGGTAATTTTTATGGCTCTTCTTGCTCCAGTCTATTAATTGGCTTAAATATCCATTTACCTCTGAAACTTAGGCTCCAATTTGATTGTAGGATGTGAAATGAATGGATTAATGTTCATGATTATAACATAAATTTAGAATGAATGATTTAGGTTCAAGTTCTAACAATGATTTGTCAAGTATGAATTTCAAATAACAAGGTGGGAGGTGTTATTTGAAATTCATTTCCGCAAGGATTCTAAGTACGCAATGATTACAATGTGTCTTCTACCTCTAGTTCAATATCCCCTTGATTTTTAGCATCCAACCTCAATTATATATATATATATTTAAGTGAAAGCAATTCTTTTTTACTCTGAGACATTAAACATAATAATAACTTAGTTCGGAGTTCTATTGGTTTGAAATATTAATTCCTGCATTTCATCAATGCTGAACAGGGAATGGATGATGAGGTGGTCCCACCATCGATGACTGACTATGTGGCTCGGATTCTACCAAAGGCCATTGTGCATAAGCTCCCTGGTGAGGGCCACTTCTCCTATTTCTTTCTCTGCGATGAATGCCACGGGCATATGTTCTCCACCCTTTTTGGAAGCCCACAAGGTCCAGTTGAGAGCACCGACCAAACTCGGAGATCCCAAGGTGATATGGAAGAGTCCTCTCTTGATACTGTTTCTTCCGCAAAATCAGCCCATTAATTATAATTTGCACTTTTCCTGAATCATGATGTAAATAACAAATACAACTGGTTTGCTCCTTTTCTCAATGGAGCATGAAAGGTCAGATTTTGCATCCTTGTTCTATTTATAATTTATTTGGACTACAGATAGCTTTAACAAGAGATGGTTGAGAAGCAATTAAGGCTATACAATCTTGATGCAGTTTTTTTCTTTTCTTCTATGGTGGAATTTGTATCCCCATCAGTAATCAACACTTTCTTCACTTGTTATGTCATATGATCAGCTCATTTTGCCCTTTGTATATAAAAACATGCTATTTGAAAAAAAAAAAAAAAAAACTAGGCTGAGTAGCAAGTCAAAAAGGCAGATTCACATGTGTACCACTTCCATGTGATGTTTTCTTTTTACTATGTCGATTAGTTGGAGTTTTCTGATTGAGAAGCATTTCGGCTCGAATGCAGAACGTGATTGCATTGCTCTCTTTATACTTTAGGCGGTGTGTTGTGTTGTTGCCAGAGCTTTATTGGTTCGTGTGTCACATTCAGTCATAGTATTTATAATACATAGATTCCTAAAGCGTCTTTGTAATGTGTTTGTGAAACCTATTACAATGATAAGTTTCCATGTCTGTCGTGTGTTATGAATCAAAATTATGTAGTGAAAACCAATACTGTATACTAACCACTCGAACAAGTAGTTTTTACAAAGAAGAGAAAAAAAAGAAATACTGATAAAATTCAATGAAACCCTAGCCTCATTCAGTCATCGTAAAAAGTACTATACATCTTGAGAATTCATATGCATATTATTATTACATTCTGTACCTGCAAAGTGGACAAGCATTGGCCTGTTTAAGCCACTTGTAAATGCAGGGTCCATGGAACTGGTGCATGCAGCCCATGGCACTAGCTTCTTCCCCGACCTCCATCTCATCCTGACACACCCCGCAAACGTGTCCTTCTTCCTCTACCACCACCTGGGTCAGGCTTTCGAGCACCGGATCGATGGTGTCCGCCAAAATTCTCCCTAGTTGAACTGAAACTCTATCCTCGATCTCTGTCAACACCTCATTGAAGTCTCGAGCCGTCGCCTTGGCTCGGGACATGGCCAACTCAAGTTTCTTGCGCTCCAAGCTTATCAGTTGTAGTTGCTCGTTATTCAGCTTCGGCCCCGACTTACGATCAAGAACATGTCTGTTGCCGGGGCTTTCGCTGTCGCCGGAGTCCACATGTCTGTTGCCGGAGTCTGCCAGTCCGTTGATAATATTAGCCCAATTTCTTGCTATATCAATTTCTTCCATGAGAATAGTATGCGTGTGTAGAGAGAGATTTAGAGAGAGAAGTCGAACAGAAAAAAAAGAAGATAGAATGGGTTTTATAGCTTTGTTGATGGGAAGGTCGGTAGTGAATGACTATGGAGAAGCGGCGCCAACCTTGAAAAACCCTTCTCCAAGTAAGTACAAAACACGTTGAATAACCCTTCTCCAAGAAACGCGTACAAATCACTCATTTCTCAATGATATCTACATGTCTCTTGGTTGTTTAACCACATCTTAATATATATATACGCACATACATGTATAGAAGCACAATTACACAAAATGTTTTTCATCATTTATATATGCACTTGCACTGTATATCACACATAGCATCTATTTTTAATTGTTTTTAAGATGTAATACTTCGATTTCTATTTTTTTATTTCAGAAATTCAAAACAAGTGTAATATATATGCGAGTATAATGTACATTTGTACTAACCTAAATATGATTTGTGTCCTCCATTGCAGCTGTGTCGAACGGCGAAGACCACTGATAGAGCAGCTGCTGCTTCTTCGGGTTAAAACTTATATTCTTTTATGTTTAATGTGTGATATTTCGATCTTTTGAATACCAATTGAAAGCTTTCAAATACATTATTAAATTTTATATTAATATTGACCTTTTTAAAAAAAATTGGTTAGGACAATCATGGATAATGGGTCATCTGGAGACACTTCTGACTTCTGAGGATATAAATCAAAGTTTAATCTCTTTTCATTATTCTACTTTACAATCAAGTATTTTTATTATATATGTATTTTATCTTAGTTTTTCATTGTTTTAATTAGATATAAAAATGCTCAAGTGCAAGAGCTTTATTAAGCAATCATGGCAAGACCCTAAAGTATAGCTTTTTTAGTGAGAATTTTTCATCTATCTATTTCATTCTAGTTGCTAGTTGTGAACTTTTTCTCTTTGAGCCCTCGTTTTTCTACACACACAAACATACACTCACTCAACATTTAAGTAAGTATCATTAATTGTGCCTTTAAAATCTTATTAACAATAAGTTTTAATATATATATATATATATCTTCAAGGATATGTATACACATACACACACACACACATATATCTTTTTACATGCAAGTATATATATCTTCAAGGATATGTATACACATACACACACATATATATTTATACATGCAAGAGGTCACATATATAGACGGGTCAACCCACATCCATAAAACTATAAAACCCATTATTACACCACAGACTCACAGGTTGATTGAAAATAGCCATTTTAGCTACACCAGACTAGTCGTCGTACTCGGCAGGAATGTTGACATTCCCTTCCATTTATTTTGTTTTTCTTATTTTTGTTAGACAATTTTTGGCCCCATTTTATTCAGTTATTGTCCGTAAATAAATTTATCTGGCTTGTCTTTGTCACCGTAGATATAGACATTTCTTTTTTTCTTATTATTTTGTTTTTATTATTTTTTCTTTCCTCTTATCCAGTTATTGTTCAAATAATTAAAATTTTCCTTCACGTGTCCCCCAAGCAAAGACAAAAAGTATGTCAAAATCATTACAGACCACACTTGGGCGAAGACGACACTTTGCTCAATTTTTTAAAAATTTTTTCTGAAGAAAAAAATAAAATAAAGTAGAAATGTTCAACCTCAATGTTTTTATTTCCTTAAAAACTTGGTTGGACCAACGGCCTGGATCACTGTACGAGGTAAGAGAAGAATATCTAAAAACTTAAATCTGAAAATAAGAAAATCTACTACGCACAAGAATAGTGATTCACTACTCACACGCATGTATGGGCGGGTTATAAATGAGCGGGTCATGAACCTTCTAACAACCAGTTTGTGGCGGGTCATTAATTGTTTGGGTACAAATAGACGGGTCAACCCACATCCAACCCAATCACCCAAATTTATTTATATTTTCTTCTTTTTGACCTTTTCCCAAGACAGTGAGCAAGTATGTGAGTTCTTACCCGGCACAATGATCAGAATCCGGGTCGATCGAGATCCAACCATAAAATTATAATCCAATTTTAAAACATAAAAACTTTAACCTAGTGTCATTTATCACATCTTACCTTTTTTAAAATCTATATTAAATATAACAAAAACATTAAAACACTTATAAGTACCTACCTATCTGAATCTTTTTTACACAAAAGTCTCTGTCATGATTCGTCATAACGGCTTATACGCGATGTAATGGTCTGTTCGTAATACTTTTTGAAGGATCCAATACCGTTACACACCTTCATGAACTGGTTGATTTACACCGATATTCGCCCGAATCCGTTACAATGCGATTGAGATCGATAATGCGAGTGCAAACCATTCTTTTAACATACATTTTTTTAAGAACTTTTTCTCTGGTTCATCCACCAGACTTTACAATTCTACAATAACAAACATATGCGATTTTATAATAATACAATCCAAAATTCAAACATCTCTGCTGGAATACAGAACAAAATTGAGGGATCATCAAGTTTAACTCCCAACACACATAATCTCTCTCTACAGATTTTAATGGTCCATTTGGTTGCCAACAAGGCGTAACAAAAGGCAAAATTACATCCAAGCTTGGCTATACGGTCGAATACATAGTATATATGAACTTATGAAGAACACTGAACACACACACACATAATAAGATGAGAAACTATGTGACTGAAGTTGAAAATGAAGTGGACACAGAGAAAAAGTTTTATGGAGATAAAAAGAGGTGAACAATCATGTAGAGATAGAAACATGAAGTAGAAAAAGAGAGCAGAAGAGGGAGTGGTGTGGGGATGAACTTGAAAATTATGTGAATAGAGCGCAAAAGTTTTAGAGAGAGAATTGCAAGTTTTATGTTTGGGTACCCACCCTCAACCCGCTAATGACTTGCAAATTAAACAATTCCCTGTCAACTTAAATCACTCACCCAAATCTCATTAATAAGCAGGCCGGTTGGTGGGTTGGGCATAAATTGCCACCCCTAACTATCACTAATCACAGCATTTTCAATTCAAAAGCTTAAGTGCTTTGTTCTTGTTTATTCTTCGATGCCCAGAACTGTGCTCCATACATAATGACCTAATCCAAAGAGGCCCCTTAAATCATCATCTCTCTTTCTGCACACCTAAAATTGTCTCTATCATACCAGCAATGTAATGTGTAGATGAAAAAAAAAAAAAAAAAACGAAAAAGAGAATGTTTAATTGACATGACTAATCTGACGTTTTTTTTCTTTTTTTTTGTAGACCAGTATCAGTACTTTCATGAACTCATCTGTGAGGCAAGCTCATAAGTAGATTATCTTGAATTTTATTTAGCTTTGTTGGGATGGAGTAACTAATTGACCCGAGTTCAACTACCGACCCCAACAACAACAAAAATATTAATACTAATGAATGTTACTTAAAAAAAAAAAAAGAAAAAAAAAAAAAAACTGAACTATATGTTAAGTTCAAATCGATGCCACAAAAATTAGAATTATCGTTATCAACATAACTACTATATATATTTTTTGGTAATTAACATAATAACTATATTACTCTAATGAACACTTAAAAAGTCAAATAGTAAACAGTTTCCCAGTTTCCTTGACAATCACATAAAGAGAAGTTTTTGCTTTTGCAAGCAATGTACATGACCCTAGCATTTTCAGCATTTTATTACCAGAAACTGGAAAAGTTTGGTGAGAATAATTTAGCAGGATGAGGGTTTTCTGGTATAGGAGATGACGTGTTCAATTAGGGAAGAATTTCTCGCTTAACACTCACTTCTCAGAGCTTTGGCAAAACTGACTTTCAGAAATCAAAATGCAGAACCATTGTTCTTGGTCTTTCCAAGCATCACATCTTTTGCTTCATTAACTTTAGAAGCAAGATAATGGCTACCGCCTGCATCTGGATGGTTCGCTACCATCACCCTTCTATGAGCTTCTTTAACCTTATCTGGGGGAGTGCCTTCTCTGTTAAACATAAATACTGAAAACATCAGATCAAAAGACAGGAAATATATCATACAGGAGATGTGCATATGTTATTGCAGGTATATACAGATACAGGGAAAATGAAAGAAAGCTGTGTAAACTTATGATTTGGTATATCAGGAAGCTCAAGCAGGGCAACGAATTTGAATTTTCTAACAAATTATTTGCATTTCCCATTCAATAAGAGGAGGAGATCCGCATTCATGCTCATGTGGCATTAGATTGAATTGTGTATTAAACAAAAACAGCTAATGAAGCAGGCATAAAAATATTGGAAATAAATCCAAAAAGGCACATCCCAGTAATAGGAGATATAAACAAGTATCTTGTATCACAAACCAGTGTGACAAAAGATCCGCTCAGCAGGGACTGTATTGAGTAACTGCTTCTAGCTTTACAAGTTTCTACTGTCTCCTCACTTAAAAAGGTAGCTTACAGGTCAAACTGAAGTTACTCCAGAAAGAGGAGGTGCATTTCCCAGCAACTGTAACAGAATAATTAACTGATTGCTTCAATGTAAAAACCACCCAACTTGAATGTAAACCATTATCTGATTATCAGTTCAAAACATTCATTTTATTTTTATTTTATATATATACATACAACATTAATAAACACTACACAATTGATGACCAATACATCTAGACGTTTTTACCTCACTGAAAAAGCAAAAGGAAAAGGAAAGGAAAAGGAAGACATTGTTAACAACCATCTACTCTAAAAGCTTAAGTTGTTAGAGAGGGTGTAACTTTAATATTTATATCTTCTAACACGCCCCCTCACGTGTGGCCTTTTTTTTTTGTCCAACACGTGTTTTCAATTTATAATTAGGGTGACAGTGAGGTTTGAACTCGAGACCTTTAGCTCTGATACCATGTTAACAATCATCTACTCTAAAAGCTTAAGTTGTTAGAGAGGGTATAACTTTAATATTTATATCTTCTAACAGACATATCTAGTGGTTTTCATGGAAAAGGATAGTAATGCTGGGCCATGACCTCTTGTAAGTCCACCACTCAAGGAAAACTTCCTAAAAGGGTTTCAGGTTGATTGGCTACAAGAAACACCTAATCCAACCTAGCTAATTTAAGGTTCCTATATGTTGGCAGCACCAAACTAACAACCACGGTTATGTTAGGGGATATATTTGCTCAAGATGCATCATGTATGTTTCAAATATAGATAACAAAAAAGGGTCAAGGGGGTGGTTACAAATTAATCACCCATCTTCTCCTACCAACTTGCTTTGAAGGGGTACAGTATCAGAAACTACTAAATTTTTAATTGTATTTTAAGAGAAGTATTAGACAATCCAACATATGGGGATGGAATTGGACAATCAAAGTGGCAAGTCACAACAAGAAGGCAACCCGTGAGCTAGAATTTGATCACAGTTGGAGGTGCTTTGTGGATTCAAATGACACCACTACCTAATTAAAGGCATCCACCTTCTATGTCAAAAGCTAACATAAAAGATAATCAATTGCCAAAATGACCCAGAACATTCCCACCTCCTTAAAAGAAGATACTGGAACCCTTTCACAAATATCTCAAGGATTATTCTCGGAAAGGTAAGAATTAAATGAAACAATTTATTAAACGAAATTTTAAACTTAGGCACAATGCCAAATGAATGATAAAGAATAGCATTTTAGTACCAATTTACATAATAGAGGAAATGCAAAAAAAAGGCGGCTACTATAGAGAAATTAAATTAATTGCTACCATAAGAAAGAGAAAAACAATAAAGATCAAGGAAAGAGTCCATGGTGTTTGAAACCAATTTGGAATTATGTTACATAGAATAATTATAGCCATTTACTTAAGAATACAATTAACATAAAGTTATAGAAGGAAAAAGAAAAAGAAAAAAAGACAAAGAAAAAAGAGACGTACACATGGTTTTCATAGAATTCATTCAAATTATATTATTGATAAGGAAGCAATGGCCTTATATTTTATTGATAAGGAAGCAATGGCCTTATGGGGAAGAAATTGGACAATCAAACAGTTGTCGAGTACGAGTAATCACATTTAGGCAGAGGCAGGTAACTTTCATATTCCAACAGATTTTTCAAGCGCACCTGACTCCAAGAATAAGGGCTGCTTCCCTCCTTGTCATTTTAGATTGGAAACCTCCTTCATAAAATTTGCGCATTCTAGGTGGACTTGCCTTGAATGCCTGCCAAGCCTGAATGCCATATCTACCAGCATAAGCAGCAGCAGCAACTGCAAGTCCTGCTATCAACGGTGCAGCCTGATACAAATTTCAGGTTTAAACTTAATAAATTTAAGGAATTAATAATTGATGTACTTTAAAAGGTAATTTAAGAGTCATCAATGAAGAAATTTAGTACCAATTCTAGATCATAACTGTTAAGCAACCAGTGTACTTTTTTTTTCCCTCCTTTTTTTCAAAAAGTTAAGCAATTGTCTAAAGTATAAATCAGTCCGTACATGAGGAGCCCAAAGGCTGAGGGCAAAGCCCATTACAAACCCAAAAGGGAGTAAGCCCAAACAAATAGATACAAAGCGCAAGAGAGAGCCCATTATACAAGCTCAACCCAACAGACAATCAAATAACCAATGGTAACAGACCAAAGGACAGTTACAATAGGAAGCTCGACGGCGACCGGAGACCAGCCATTGAAGGCAAGCAAGAACCTATAAAGGGTAGGCTCTTATCGACTTTAATCTGGGGGACGAGTAGGAGGGTGGCAACACGACGGAGAGAGACCCCATTCCCGGAGAGCTGGCCTAGAGGCAGAGCAATCCCTCAAAGACCCAAGGCTTAGAATCAAAGACACGAGCAAGAACGAACCCTTGAGAGGATCATTTGCCCTTGAAATTCCTGGCATTTCTTTCTTCCCAGATGTGGTAAACCATAGCTGAAAGGATGAATTTACAAAACAAGCTCCACGAAGATTTGGATTTCTAGTGTGAGCTATACCATAGGACAAAGTTCTCCCAATTAGGGTTATGGGAGTAAAACTTGCATTTACTTTGGATAAACTTCCATATTGGAGAGGAAAATTCGCAATTGAAGAAAATATGCGAATGGGACTCAGGGTGAGCACAGCACAGAGACAGATGTTTGGGATTTGGTGGAAAGCTGTGAGTCGATTGTCAAGTGTGGGGAGCCAGTTTTGGACAACCATCCAAAGAATAAATTTGAATCTAGGGATTGCTGGAGACCCCCATACAAGGCTGAACCAAGGAGAAGGGGGTGTTACAGGGGTGATATTATCAATGGTATGCTTCATTGAGTACACTCTAGAGGAAGAAACAGACCACAACAGTTTTTCATTGCTAGAAGGGTCAAGATGAGGCAGAGAAGATAGATCGGGGATGAGAGTAACAATGGAAGCAGGAAAGGACCAAGTATTATGACTGGTAAAATGCCCAAGAGAAGTGTCATCACTGAGACCGAGGACATTGTAGAAGCTGGGAGCATAAGAGACAAAGGACCACAGTTGAGCCAATTGTCATGCCAGAAGCATGTAGCAGCTCCGCTCCAATTTTGTGCTTAATAATTTGCCATTGTACATGACTTTCACATGGCACCAAGGTGGCACATATCACTTCGCCATGTGGCACAGTGGAGGAAGCCAATATTGCATTTTAAAATTGCCACATGGCTTACTCTTGTATCCCATGTGTCATCTTTGTAGCTCAGCATGTGGCATCCCTTGAAGTAATAATAGTCACCCACTCTTTCCCTCCAAGTATAGCAGAACTATGGAGCAAGGTAAGGGGAATCCTACAACCTCAAGGCTACTAATATGGAGCATGTGCCATGTGTCATCTTTGTAACTCAAAATATGTCATTCGTTGGTGCACCTAATGTGACAACTTTCTCCTCTTTGTAACACAATTGTGATAAAGTCCCTTATATGAACAGCTGGCACCAACTTCTTTGTTATATATTTTTTAATAATAGAAAGGATATATCATTTGGACACTCAAAAGGGGTTTCATCAAACCTAAATAAGTTGCAGTAGTAACGAGTGTATGTCACTTCATTGTTCTCTTTATCAAAAAAGAATCATGAAGAAAATTTTATAAAACATTTTTTTTTAACATCACATAGGATCACTTGCACAACACCCCTTAAATTTATTATTTACACAATTTTTTTTTTTTGATAAGTAAATTTATTTATTTACACATTACTTCCTGGAACTATTGAAAGTTTGCAAATCAGTCGAACTGACAAACTGCCATTAGTTGGTCATAAACGTGTCTTGAAAATTACTAAAAAGGCCTTAAGGTTAATTGCACAAACCCCCCTTGAACTGTAAGAAATTTGCATCTAACCCCTCAAACAAGAGGTAACAGTCCCAAAATATATATATATATATATATATATTAATATTTTTAATTCAGATGGTTTTATGCAATTAATTTTAAAAGGCTGGGATTTTCAAAGAGTCCCACTGCTTTGACTGTATATGTCTTAAATGCAAGTCTCTAACTATTTTTTGGATCAGGTAAGTTTACTCACACACACTTTGCCCAAGCTGGGGGCTCGAATCCCTCCCCTCCTCTTTGAGGATAGGGAGGTTATACCATTGGGCCAAAGGCCTTTGGTAACTGTAAGCCTGCAACCATACGGAAGGGACACCCTTGCAATTTTTTTCATATTTTAGGTTGGTTATCAATTTAAAAATCAGTATAGGGGAATGCAATTTAATTTAATTAATTTATTTATTTTTATAGTTTAGGAGGGTTTATGCAATTAGCCTATCGCATAAATGACTTGAGCAAGGGTAGTTGTATGCTCTGGATACATAGGAACTTAGAAGTGAAGTTACTTCGTTTACTGAGTTAAGAACACTAGATCATTCTCATACAGGATTTGTCCAAGCACCCTTGTCCAGTCTGTGGACACCTTTTTGGCCCAAGTCTATGTCCTATAATTAAGGCAAGAGAAGAATCCAACTCCTTGAAACACACTCATACCTGAGTTTAGGTAACATAGGGTACATATGATCTACAACACAGCCCCAGCCTCGTCTTAGTCCTCGACATGATTCTACATTGTGAGTACCTTTTCTTCTCAAATAAGCCTTCTTGTCGGCGCATGTATGATATGGACCTGCTTTCGCTATATAAGACTCATTGTGAGGACCTCTCCGCAGTGTTGTTAAAGGCGCGCCTAGGCTCGAGGCGCAGGTCTAGTGCCTCTGTTGCGCCTCATCCTATTTGGCTAGACGTTCTATCTCTTAAGCCAAAAAGGGTACTTTTGGCAACTTAATAAACAAATAAGAAAGCCTAAGCATATTAGAGAAGGATCTTTTGTTCAAAAGAATATACAAATAAGAAAGTCCAAGACCGAACATAAAAAGAGTGAGACTGTGAGAGCAATGACGAAGCCTTAGTGGGAGAGACGAATGACGAAGCCATGTCAGTTCTTTCTTCTTCTTCTCTCTCTCCTCCTCTACTCCTCTCTCCTCTCTTCTCCTCTACTCCTCTCTTCTCATCTACTCCTCTCTTCTCATCTTTGTTTACTTCTTTCTCTCCGTTTAGTTCTCCTCTCTATCTTTATTTTTTTGGGCTCTATTTTTTTCTCCTTTCTCTTCTTTAACACTTTCTCTCTTTTCTCATCTACTTCTCTATCTTCATCTACTTCTTTTGTCTCTGCCTCCTTTTTTTTTTTTTTTTTTGTTTGGTTTTATTTTTTTTCTTCTTTTCTTGTTAACAGTTTTTTTTAATAGATTTATTTATTTTTGTACTCTGTTTTGCCTTTCAAGAAAACAAATTTGTGCTATGTTTTATGGTTCTTGAATGCTTATATAGTTGATGGATTTACTTTTTTATATTTGATATTAATTTTTAGGATATTGATATGACTTGTGAGATATGAATGCCATTATGGTAGTTTAAAATTTCAATCGTGCGTCTCACTTCACTCAGGCACGCGCCTAGGCTCCAAAGGACCTCTAGCGCCTTGGCGCGCCTTGAGCCTTTAATAACACTGCCTCTCCTATACAAATATGTCCCACTGCCTTCTCTACAGGTAGATAAGCGTTGTTTGGGGATGAAAGATATCTTGAAACACATCGTGCAATCTCTGTGTGGGAACATAACTTAAGAGGTTTCAACAGTTCGGTGCAAACTATCATAAAGAATCGAGTTGTCTTGTGCATCTGCATACCAAAGGTGGGAATCTTTGTTCTTACACTTTCTTTATTTAAGCATGGGGACAACCAAAACAGATATTCAAGAAATATGACAAAGCTAGGGTGGGTAGAAAGGAAGGAGTGTGGGTCTTGAAATTTTAGGAGATTTTGTCCAAGAATGACTGCATATTAAAGGTGTCCAAATTGAAGCAAATGCATCACAAGCTTCTTTGCTAAGATGCATTTTGGATGGCAAGATGGGCCAAATTTTAATAGAGAAGTTGATTGGTGTGAAGCAGGTGAAGTCCTAAAGCCCAAAGAAATGCAGAGAATTGTGGAAGAATTCTGATGCTTGCTCAATTGGAGGATAATGGCCCAAGTTGATATGGGCCTTGAGAATAGCATTCTGCATCTCGTTGGCATCCGGCCAAGGTAAAAGTTACAATCATGTCCTTAATTAATCTTCACGTGGAGAAGTAAATGAATAACAAATTGAAACCCGATGTCTACAAGTAACTGCCATCTAAAAATGGACATGAGTAGTTGGTGGATCTTACTTCAATTCACTATGTTTACATTGAGTTAGATTGCAAGGGTTGCAAGAGAGAGCATGGAGGATGATAAGGAAATGGTTGGTTGTGGTGTGAAATCATACTTCGGGAGAGGTAAATCAAGAAATTATGAAGAATGGAGGGATTATGGACCAAAAACAGATAGCAACAGCAGATGTGGAGGAAATTGACAATGTCCATGTCAATTATTTTGAACTTCGGTCTGCCCATCAAACATGTCAAGTTACCAGCTCATCCGGCTTTCAACCAGTGGGGACAAAGTTGTTGACCATTTATCATCTTTGGAATAGGTTTTTTACAAATAAAATTGAAAATTATGGAGTCCATAAAAGTGAATATTGTGAATATAAAGGAAAAACATAAACATACAACACATAAAAGTACAAGTAACATCTTACTCTGATGAAAGACTGTTGCCTATCATTCCTAGATACTCGATGCTTAATACAAAAAATCGCGACTAACTTCAGTAAACCCCTGGTTCATCTTGCAGAATAGTATATGCAAGTATATAGGTGGGTTTTCTTCAAATCTGTCAATGATTCGAAATTGATTTCCCATCCGATCACTATAAATGGATACACCAACTAAACTGGACTGGAATCATTGATTATTGGTCCATTTTGCCATCTGATACAAAATTACAAGTATTTTGAAACCATATCAACGAACCAGACCAATCAGCTGGTTTACCACTTAAAAAAAAAAAAAACCAACCATATTTTTCTGTTTATACGTGGGGATTATATAATGTGCTCCAAAAATGTTCCCCAATCTAGATCACTCAATTAAACGAGTCAGACACAACCGGGTTTAAGAACACTGATTTCCGTCTCTATTCAAGCAAGACATCTGTCCCTCATGATGAGAATATGCTATGTCATCAAAAGGTGGGAATATTGAATTGGTTGACTATGCAGCTAAATATTGAGTGCTTGGAATAACACATAGGCTAAAAGGAAAATTCTATAGGACATTATTAGACCAATTATGTTGTATGGAGCGGAGTGTTGGGCTCTAAAAAAATAAACAAGAACGTCCTCTTCACGTAGCGGAAAGAGAATGTTAAGATGGATGAGTTGAGTGACTAGAAGTGATAGGGTCACTAATGAAAGTGTGAGAGGAAAACTAGGTGTAGCACCCATAAGTGAGAAAATTCGAGAGAGTAGATTTAGATGGTTTGGACATATATATTGGAGACCTAGCGGATCACCAGTCAAACGAGAAAGACTAGTTATTATAGAAGGAAAGAGACGGAGAGGGCAGCCAAAAATACCATAGGACGAGGTTATTAAAAATGATTTTAAGAAGTTCAATATAGTAGGTGACTTAGCATGCGATAGAAAAAAAAACTTGGAGAGAAAGAATTCATGTGGCCGACCCTATTCATATGAGATTAAGGAAATGATGATGAACTTATCAAAAAAAAAAAAAAAAGGAAAGGATGATGATGATTATGATATAGGGTGCTTGGAAGGAGTAGCTGAAGCAGACTGGAGAGTAGACAATTTCTATTGTTAACAACAAAATTAGACTCCTTGAATAAGTATCATATAGAGCAATGTCTAGCCCAGAATTTGGACTATCCCAGTGAGTCCTCCTACGGTGAACACCCCCCACCCCCCAACACACACACACACGCGGACGGTTAATGATTCTTGTATCAAAATAAACATGTTCTTGAAACAACAAAATTAGACTGCTCACTCTACTTAATTTTTATGACTAACAATTATGTAGAAGACAAAAACAGAAGGCAGAGAAAGCACCCGCAAGGTGTACATGCACAATCACACTAGTCGTTATCTACCTCTCCAGAACACAATTTATAAGAGTCTCTTCCAAGTTTTTTTCTCCAAAATATGCATATACCAATTCTACTGAAAGATGAGGCCCTCAATGATAAGTAGTTAAAATTTTGAGAGCAACTATCCAGAACAAGAATCTAGTAACAGACTCCTATAGTCTTATGCAAGTGCCATGCTTGATCACTTGCATTGCCAAATCGGTATTAAAAACTTGAGTAAAATCAATAACGTAATTTACCAGTACATATTGTTACATTAGTGATTTGGTAAATCCCTTTCAAAGGACCACAGAAGTTGCTCCTTTACGCGAGTAAAGAATTTCAACTGATCAAGGCCCATGAGTCTACCAATAGTGCTATTTGTTTCTAGTCTCTGAAAATTTTAGAGAGAGAAAGAGAGAGAGTTCCTCATTATTCATCGAACAACAAAAGTTCGTATCAAGCGAAATCCCCCAAATATGTCATATTCAAGGTTTCCTCAGAATCTTGATAGTTACACCCAAATATGCATGCACAAACACACACATATATGCATTCATATGCACAAATGTACACATAAATGAAGCTGTCTACTACTAGCTTAGTTGAAAAAGGTCTCCTTGGGTCAAACCAAGACATGGTTTCAAGTCTTTCTGGGATCTTGAACACCCACTCACCAACACACACCTAAACGTTGCCAAGAAAAAAGAAAAGAAATGAATATATACACACACATACAAATAATATATATAATATATATATATGATCCAAACAAGTCATAATTTATTGTTTCGGATCTCAATTAAAGCTAACAGAAAACCCTAAACTCAACTCAAAACAAAGCACAAAATCACCATAATAAACAGGAAAATAAAAACCCTAAGAAGTTCCCATACTATGTAGTCTATAACTGGATCAAATAAAAATTAACTATCACAAAAAACATAGCCTCGATAGAGAGCAATAGAAATGACAAACATATATAGAGAGAGCCACTCACCATTTCCGCGATATTTGAAAGGTCGAAGCAATGTAAACAAACATTCGCGGGCTTTGTGTTCTTATTACCGTTTTATCATTTTCTGATTTTTATCCGCCCCTTTTCGTAACTCCGCAATTAGGGTTTCGATGTTTGAACGAATAGATGATGTATGTACTTAACCAGTCAATAAAACACAAGGGGACATTCACGTGATATTCACGTTTATATTTTCAGCTCGAAAAACTTTTTAATTTTTTTATCATTTATCCGGGCAGACGATTAATTATGTAAAAATATATATTTTTAATATTTTTATATATAAAACTGTTGCATAATTCATGAATTATGTTAAGCAAATACGTAGTAATTTTCAAATTATTCTCAAATATGTTTAAGCAAAGAAATCCAATTTTGCCTGTGTCATTTAATTATATGTGTAGTTAATAATTTTCTGGTCTAAAATGATTATAAATGGTTTCTAAATTATTTGCAAAATTGCCGAATCATGCAAAATGGCGGCCGCATTTTTAATGTGTTCGTTTTAAGAATTTGGTTTTGGATGAAATACACATTACTCCGAAAAACTTTCCAAACCCCAAATTAATGCAAATGTTTTTTAACTTCCATAGATGAAACTTTTAATGTACTGAGCTAGTAAAAAATAACTCCATCTGATACCCTTTAAAGTCTTGGTAACAGTGTTGCAAAAAAAAAAAAAAAAAGTCATGGTAATAGCGGACTGGACAAAGTCAAACCTCTATACTCTTCAAATGTGCAATAGTGGGAGTCTTGTTTAACTACTTTTTTATGTGGTCTAGACTAAATGCTTATTAAAAAACGAAGAACGATTTCGGTGTTATAAATTTGTCATAAGAATTTCGAATCACCTTACACACAAAAAGTGTTAATAATAATGGATAAATGAAGTTATTGTTAATAAAATTTTACTTTATTTTAAGTAAAAAAAACGTTATATAATATCCAACTAGCAACAACATATCACTCATAGACTATGATGGATTCCATCACAAACTGTGACTGTGATGGGACTAACCACAAGCTGTGAATAATCAACCGTTGGAGATAGTAAGTGATGTAACAAAACACTTTCATGTACCACAGCCTGTGAATAATTAACTGATGTAACTAAACTTTTTAAGTAGTATATATTCTTACTTAATTGAATAAATATTGAATAATACGATAACAAACTCACTTAGTTAAATAAACATTTAATTCATTCATATTTAAACGTTGAATGAGATTATCAAACACCACCTATAGTCATCAACTTGACATTTACAGTAGAGTGTTGAAAACCAACATTCAACAAGCTGTTAGCAAACCAGAATTAAAAGAGGGAAAAAGAAATTCTCAAATTCCTGAGAGGAACCAGAGTTATCACATTCATTATTTTTGAGAAAATTATTTAAACCCAGAAGCAGGGTTTTTCTAAAATAATTTAACAATCGTCACAATGTTAACAATTAAAAAGAGCTGGAATAGGAAACAATCTTCATAACAAGGCTCGCCCAAGAGACTAATTAACCCCCAAACCAACACCCTCAAAGCAATAAATAAAATAACAAATGTTAACAGAAGTGGAAGTGGATTCACAAATCAAATAAAATTCATTTTTATTTCTTCTCTTCATAAACCTCTTTATACCCAATTAGCTTATTATCTTCTGCTCTTCATCAGGAATCATTAACTTATTATTATCTTCTGTTCCTCCCTTCACGGCATTCTGCTTTGCAATGGAGCTGATGTCCACCTTTGGTGGACCTGAATGCCGCCTTGGCCGAGCTGGTGAAGGCGGGAAAGAAAGCCGCTTCTTTGCAGATCCTGCTGATCCCTTTTCTGGTGTTCCATTCTCCACACCCAATGGGTTTTGCATACGCGACTTAGCCTTTGCTGACTTGGTGGATGCCATGTAACTTGGTACTGCCGGAGAGCTTGCTAGGCTCTCATCATCTCTCACCAACGACCCAGCAATGCTATGCCTCCTATTCCTCTCCGATTTCACACTGAACATGCTCTTTGCATCATCTTCTGGGCCCAAAACATCCCCTCTTGTGCTCCTGGCTACTGCTGAGAAAGCTGACTTGGATGCAGGAGTTGAAGGGGAGAGGCGGTTAGAATGATGACTTGGTTTTCGGCTACCTGTTGGGGAAGGAGATGGGTGGTTAGAGAAATGACTTGGTTTTTGGCTGGCGGTTGGGGAAGGCTTGTCAGAATTGAGTTGATGGCGAGCATAAGCCTTAGTGATTTCTCCTACACTGAGGCCAATACTCTTTACGGACGAGAGATCACTGTTGAGTTCTTTCTCGGTCATGCTCCTGTTATCCCATGTCCGGGCTGCCATCCATCGTTCCAGCCAGCTCCAACCCCATTGTGGATTGTTTGGGTCCATGAACAGTAAGTTTGCGGATTTTGTAGATTTCTTCCAGGTTTGCTGCTCATTTAATATAAAAGGAAATTAAATCAAAAAATGAAATTTTGTAACCAGCTCTATGCATGGAAGAACCATTTTGTTACAAACTAACCGAGCTCCAATGTTTTCGCAAGAAAATATCCCTAGACAACCTAGACTTAATTTTTGAGTCCATCGGATCTCCAAAACTGTGCAAAAGAATCTAATCACTGAACATTCTACCTTGATCAACTGACAATTTGATTTAGTTTGCCTTAAAATTCTACAGCTATTAGAGTCTATAACTCTATAAGTAGGGTGAAAACTACTACTACTTATCACAAGCATGGTATACTCCTCCTATTTGAACTAGCCATATACGAGTCAAGCCCTACATGTTCGTAAACAACATGGACCCACGGTTCATTTGCAGCTCCAAATGTGTGAAATGAAATAGATTAAAATTTTACCTGATGAGAGAATGAATAAGCCAGTGCTCTTTCCCTTCTCATTGCTGCCTCATACTTGCTTAGTAGGTTTGCTTCAATTTGTTCTTTGGATTGTAGACTGTCATCCCAGTCCTCCCCCATCTGTTACCAAAATAGTAAGTTTCATCTAAAGTTACAAAAAAATGTTAAATTAAGAATCAACACAGAATAAATGAGCTAAAGGCATCCTAAATGAGATTTTTCCATATAAAAAACAAAAAAAATTATATATTTCAGTAACAATTCAGATAAGAAGCTGTTTGGGATCCTGAATTATTAGTTTGAACTATAAAGGGTTCTCAAATGCTCTGCTGAAGGGATTTTAGCAAACACACGTTCAAGGATATATTATGGGCCCAAACTAAACTTGGTTGGGTGGACTTCAAAGTTTACGGACGGCACCAATGATTTTCATATGCCTTGCAATAGTGTAGTACCCAATGGAATTGCATCAGAGTCATTGCTAATTTCTAAAAAACCAATGGACCTTAGAAGATGCCTGACAATAAATTGCATGCTAAATTGCACGCTAAATTGCACTCCAAGCGAGCAAAGCAATTTTGAAGAATAGAACGGAATAAAGAAGAGAACTAACCCGCAAGCACTCAAGTTCTGTCGCACATTTCTGTAAAAGCTGTCTCTGGAGAGCTTGATTCTCCTCTGACATCCTGATCCTCCTAGAATGGACCTGAGACTGCACGCGGGATAGAGTTTGCATGCATCGTAGAGTGTGTGTAGTTTGTCGCTGGACAGTAGGCCCTTGTACCAGTGATTTCAACCTGACAAGCCCTCTCAAAGCCCTCAATGCCCTCTTTGCCTGAAAGCAATGAACCCCGATAGTCCAATAAGTTCAGTAATTCCATCATCCTCATGTAATCTGATGCTAATTATTTAAATATAAGAAAATAAAATAATTGAAACAGCGTAGAAGATTTTCCAATTGACACCATGACCACAAGCAATCAACAATCTAATCCTCAAACAGGTAAAATTTGGGAGGCAAAAAATAAATTAATTAATTAAAAAAAAAAAAATCTTAAGCTAATAGAAACAATGGGTATTGTAGATTCTCTCTGATTCTCAATAAGCATGAACTTCACAGAATTTTCCACAATGCATTATGTGCATTTTTCCGTGCATATCTCTAACCTATTTAATAAGGTATCAAAGGTTTTGGTTTGAGTTTTCTAAAACTTTGATCAATTGCTTCAACTTCAATGCACTTCGAATTTAATTTAAGCATCCATATTTGAATATTTGAATTATGACTATTCACATGCATTCAACAATTGTCTAAAAGATGGCATGCAATAGAGAGAGAGGGAGGATGGGATAGACTCAAGTTATAAAGTTCTGTTAATGTCTTCATTCTATTATCAGTTTTGAACATTGATTTTGACCATGTATCATAAAGTTCTGTTAATGATTTGTGCATGGCCACATAACATGAGTCAAAAATGTGTGGTCGATTTTGGGAACGAAGTAACAAACAAGCAAAAATAAATAAATAAATAAAACAAAATTAAAATGGAGTAAATGCATGTAACCTCTTGAGAATAAGTAAACTTTCTCTACTTCCCAAGCATAAAAGTAAAGAATTGTGTCAACTGATTATTAGCTGTACAAATAATACGAGGATATTAAAATCAATGACTTCTCAAAATAGAATACATTACTTTTGAAATATTGTCTATAGGGTTGTATTGAAAATCTATTTTGTAGAAAAAATAATGATGTGATTGTGATGAGGCTCTTAAACAATTAAAGCATAGTTCAAATGAGAAAATTATAGCTATACCATTTCTAAAAGTGTTTTTTCATCAAAACTAACACAAACATCTGTCAAGTAATGATGTCAACGGGGACAAATTAAAAAGTCATCAAAAAAAAAATTTAAAATAAAAAGTACAAAAAGGAGTCTTGTTTGGGCATATATGAGGGAGACAAATACCAGGTATCCACGAAATGCCGTCTGAATTCTGATTGCTGCCACTTCCTCTTTTGATTTTCCTGTGAACTGAGTCACTGTAGTAAGTCGAACAACCTCCACAGCGGCTTGAGCAGCCGCAACAGCGGCCTCAGCTGCCACAGCAGTGGCAACTGCAACAGAATAAGCATGTTTGGTTTGTTCATCCTGCACTTCGGCCAATTTGACCTCTTCCAAAGGAGGAGGAGGATGAGAGACTGTAACAGTTTCTAAAGGCAGCGGATTAGGAACGGCGGATTTTTCCAACTCATATGATTTCTTCTTTGATTTATTTGGATTCTGAAATGTTGTAATTAGAAATATCAAAACACCCATTAAAATAACAATATCTACTGCAGAATAAAAAAATATTATAGTGGAATTTTAACAAAATCTGACCTTTTTTGTCTTTGAAACTGGGCTGAGAGCTTTCTTCACGGAAGAGAACCAGTTCCCTTTTCTCCCCATCAGTATATCATTCCCCAACTTGTCCTTTTCTGCAGACAAAACAACTCGTAAAATTTCAACAGATTTTATCTTTTCTATGATTCCAAATTATAAGCATAACATTTCATATTTATTTAGAAAACTCAGGAAAACAAAAGAAAATGAAAGCTTTGATTAATTATTTTGCGACTTTCTGGATTACATCTGATGCATAACTCTCAAGTCTCATCAACTAATTTGGGCACAATTGGTAGAGGTATTTAAATCAAATAGTTACATTCAGTTTCTTTTCTTACCCTTCATATTTTCTCAGCAACCAAATCAATAAAGTACTTAAGAGTAAGAAGTAAGAACCCAACTTCATAGAGTCAACCGACACAATAACTATTAGTTTCCAAGAAGAAAATACAATACCCAAGTGTTAAAACTGCAAAAAAAAAAAAAAACTTCAAGAAAATCAACACCCACTTTATAAGTTTCCAACAACAGAAAGTCAACATTCTGTTTGGAGTTCAAGAAAATAGATTATATAAGTACCTGTAATGAAGTTGCCAGATCTCTGAGAACTTCTTCAATTCTCTTCTCTTTCACCGTTCTTTCCTCTATATGTATAAACAAAAACAAAAACAAAAACAAAAACAAAAAGATAGAGAAAGAGAGTTGGAGGCCCCTATTGGGTGACTTTAGTGAGAGAAAAAAAAGAATAAAAAGGCAGATCTTGACAAGAAGAGTTCAACTTTAAGAATATGAGAAATAACAGCTGGTTTTTGCTTGGGTGAGCGGTGATGAGCCCACTTATTGGGCGGGGCAAATGGGTCCCACTTAATTATCAAAACATATTTTTCATTTTTATATTTTGTTTATTTAAATGATTCGAGGCTTCAATTCTTTTTTCTCTTGTCCTACTTTAACGATACAATATCTTCTTCGATTTAAAAAAAAAAAAAAAATTTAATAAATTAGAACATATTTTTAAAAAAATTAAAATTAGCCATTTATTCATTTTTTAAGGGTTAAACAGCCTCTATTTTTTTTTTTTTTTTTAATCAAGATCACCTCTCTTTCCTTCACAAAGCAAATCTCTCCCTTCCTTTCTCATCACCGACATACTTACACAAATATTATAATAAGTTATTAAGCACTTGTTTAGTCACTGCAAAGTAAATTTGGACCTTAATCATTACAAAATTAGAAATAAAACAAAATTAAATCCAAAATATTCCCTCAATCGCTTTTAATTGATATGGAGTTGATCAAAACTTTTAATAATTTAATTGGTAAGAAATGGATAATGCCTATTATTATTTTATTTTTTTCATTTTTTTAGATGTGTTCTAATTACATTGAACCACATTAGTTGGAGGATGAACTTTATCCTCCCAAGGGGATAACCCTACCTCTTTCTTTACCCATAAATAGGGAAGGAATTTTATAAATTTAACATTAAAAAATAATCACAAGTTAATTATTTAAAAATAGTTTTCGAGACTATAGAAGAGTTTTTTGAGAATTAAAAGATGATTATACTTTTAACTTAGTCATTTGAAAGTAATTTTTACATAGATTATAGTCTACCATACAAATTAACGAATTTTTTGTTTTCTATTTTTATAAAACTGAAAACATAAAATAGTTCTTAAAAAACAAATTAAGTAAACCCTAGAATGATGAGACATACCATGCTTTTTTACATTCCTTGCTGTCTTTTCCTCCCTTTTTACAACTTTAATCTCACAAGCGAGAGTCTACATATATCACGCACGAGTTTAACCAATAACGCACGGTTATGCTAATAAATTCACAACTTAAGTTAATTCATTAATACCATTCATTAAACCCGATACAGCAACGAGAACCTTTTTTATACAAAAACAACTCCAAAAATTATAAGCTTAATTACAGTAAGAATTTAATACAAAATTATAGGCAATAAACATTTTTTTTCCCAACAAAAATAAAATTACCAACAAGAAATGCTTTGAGATACATTATTGATGGTCATGGTTGATATTTATTTATTAATTTATTAGTAGAACATGCTTATTAAATCAAGTGTGCCAAAAAGCATATAAATTGATGAGTTCTTAATTTTTACTGTGCATATTAAATCAAAACGGATGGGTGAGGTTAAAAATTTAATTCTTGTCATTGAGAGGAAGTAACTTGTGCCGTATATATAAAAATAAATAAATAAAAGAGAGAGAAAGGGGTCTGTGTTTTATAATTAGAAAAGTAGTGTACATTTGTTTATTTTTCTATATGGATTATTGGTTGTTGAACTTGCAAATCCATCACCTACAACCAGAAAACAAGAGGTCATTGGCTCATTAATATAACAAACCCCAACACTGACCTAGCTCTCCCTCTCTCTTTTATTATTTTTAAAAGATTATATTATTGTGTGTGTGTGTGTGTGTGTGTGTGTATCACAAGTGTGGAGAAGGTAACTGGATTATTGAAACATGATCAAAACACAGTTAGGAGGGTGGTCATGTAATTAAATTACAATTGGTCCATAATTAAAACAGGTTTGCAACTGAGCCCACAAAATAATACCTTCATGGCTGTGACTAATAAAGACAGTAGGGCCCTGTTATTAAGATTCTTAAGCACCTATGACCCATCATATTCCAGGAGTCTTCCAGCTTATGCCTTGAATATATACACAAACACACACACACACACACATATATTTATATATATTCAAAATTTTGTAATATAAGTTTCAGGATTAGGTGATTATCAATTAACATTGAGGAAATCTACCTAGCTTGACTAGAATATCAGTAATAGGATACATTATTGTCTCATTTGACATTAGTGTAACACAAGTGGCCAAGCTATTAATTTGCATTTATTTGTTTTTGTCCAAATGTGACATGCAATGTGTTGCAGTTGGGAGAGACCTTTCTCACATATCATGACTTCTACTCAAATTAAATGTGACATGCAATGTCACATATAAATTTAATATTTTTTTATTTTTATTTTTGGAAGATAAGAATGAGATGTATAAATATGTGAAAAATCATATAAATGCAATTTTCTACTAAAAGAGAACAAAACTTGGCTACCTAAATTGCATTTTTTTAGAACAATTCATACACTACTAATGTTCACCTATGCCTGATCCACAACATGTTTATTTAGATAAAAAAAAAATTCCTAAGAACTATATTCTAACTTAATGGAATTGAAGAAAGTCATATGGGCATGACCGACCCCATTCATATGGATCAAGACGACGACAACAACTATCTCTTAAGATATATAGGGATTACCAAGAATCATGTGTGTGTCGGTTATAGAATTCCTTTGACTGGTTTTCTTGGGATGGTAGTAATTATTCCAATAGAGTTATTCACTGATTTGCTATATCAATACACACACACTGACATATATAAATATATTAAACATGACTAAGTGGCTGCAATTATGTTACGAGTCTACAGGACTAAGATTCTCTGGGCTGTCAACACAAAAAATAATAATAATAATAATAATAACTCCACAATACCATAAACACTTCGTTAGGGCTTGTTTGGTAATGTTGTTTGTGTGAGCAGTGATTATTTTAGAGACAAATTTTTTTCCTAATGACCATGTTCTAATCTAAAAGGATCAAAGAAAGTCATGTGGCCAGTCCCATACATATGGGATTAAGGTGACACAATCTCTTAACATAAAGGAGGATTACCAAAAATCATGTGTCAGTTATAGAATTCCTTTGGCTAGTTTTCTTGGGATAAACCTTATGGAGGTGGTAGTAATTATCCCAATAGAGTTGTTCTTTGATTTGCTATGCCAATACACACACACATATATATATAAAAATATATTAAACATGACTTAGTGGCTGCAATTATGTCATCTTATGAGTTATGCGTCTACAGGACTACGATTCTCTTGGCTGTCCAAAAAATAAATAAAAATAAAGGGCCTGTTTGGTAATGCTGTTTGTGTGTGTGTGTGTGCGTGTTTTGTTATTTCTGTAAAAAGCGGAAGCAGTGATTGTAATGTGCAACTCGTGTAAAATAGATGAGAGATAATAATCAAAGCAGCAAAAGAAGTGGATTTCGGACTTGATGCAAGATGTTTCAGACAAAACTGAAAGGAATTGAACTTCCTATGTTTGAATTTTGATATTCCACTGCCATTAGTTTCACATGCTTCTTTAAACATTGAATTTCCAAAATGAGCACAAAAACAATGGTTCCTGTACTTGGTAAGAATTCTTCAGACATCATGATGCAGACAACTAGTAAACAAAGAAGTGGGACTTTAGATGCTAATAATTAGATGATGGTAGTACCCTTTTACTGGTTGAGTTCATGCCATAGATTAGTGTGATAATAATTCTACAAAAAAATATAAAATAAAAAATAAAAAATCAATGATCATGCAGATTCCAGGAATTTATGCTTCATATTTCAGCGACAAGAATGAGGTAGTCCAAATATAGAACAGTTACAAAATTTTTAAAAAATGAGAAAATATAAAGTTAAAAAAACTAAAAAATTAATTCTTTATATATATATATATATATATATATATATATATATATAAAGGAAAAAAAAAAACAAAGAAGAGATATTTGATCAATGGATGTTGCATTCCTCCCCCTCTTCATTTCCCTGGCCTCTTCTCTGTTATCTCCTGTCACCATTCAATGAAGTATCCAAAAGATTATTTTTAGTTGTTCCTTTTGGAATATGAAGATGCCAGAGCATGATTTTGGAGCAACCTTTAGCTGGGATTCCTTTTAGCTTGGTCTCCTCTTCAAGAACTTCTTTCTCGACGAATTTGAATGAATTCTATATGGAATAAGGGGGAAAAAAATCTCAGAAACAAACATCATTTAACATCCATATGAATTACTTGTAGGATCAGAAAATTGAAAGTAAATACCTTCATGACCAAAGTTTTCCACAAGAAACTTTAGCTATCTATCTAAAAGCAGGAAACTAGCTAGTTCCTTTTCCCATAAATAAAAAACATTGAAGGATGAAATGTTTATGCAGATTAGGTTGTCGATTCTCTTGTTTTTTTGTTCTTCATGTCATCAATTGTCAATGGTATCAGAGAATCCATCATCTTCTATCAAATTAAATATTATAGAGCATTTGGGCTTTCTCCTAATCACAAATATTAAATGCTGAACTTAGCAGCCTAAATTAAATACTCAATGTATTAGCTTTGTCTAGTTTTTAGGATTATCATTGATTGAATCATTTTCATTTGCACCAGAGTCAATGAGGGGTCAGTAAAAGGAAAATATTTTATGCAGACAGCCAGACACCCATGCATATGCATAACAAGGAAAACTAATAATTCATTTTTTGCTCTAGAAAGCAAATAAAAAGTCTTGGGAATTTAATTGTTGGTGAATTTAATCAATAATTGTCATCATTTATGACCAAAGTGCTTCATGGAAATATGAGATTGAGAAAGGAAACTAAATTTTTGTGGGTCAATATTATAAGCCCTGTTAAGTCCATATTCAATAGGCTCAATTCAAATTTCATGTGCTTAAACAAGAATCACAAGATCATTGTGATTACTCAAACAAACATGTCGCATCAGCCCTTTAAAATGTCTACGTATCTTTTATTTATAAATAAAGGTTGGAGGTTAGCCAAACCTGTACTACATTGTAATAATTAATTCAACACATACTTATAAGTTACTTCAATTGAATTCCAGTTGCATTGGTGATGGCATGATTAGGTTCGATATTATAATACGTTATATATTTGAATGAAAAGAAGTGAAGCATCTTATGCAGGTTTGCATGGATGCATCATTACAACTTTAAATGGATCTACAGTGTTTTCAAATAAATAGAGAATAAATGCTGAAACCTTTTACTCAACAAGAAAAATTGTTCAAACGGAGTTATCACTGTGACTCAACTTGAAACTCAAGAAAATTGAGTAGATCATTCAGATTGAGGCTTTAAATCATTAAACAGGCAATGCATAATTAAGTGCTTAGTTAAAGTTTATTGACAAACCTGTGAGGTGTCTTGTGCAGACGAAAGACGGCCCCATCTTTCTGGATCCCAGAGAATCGAACTATTGAAGGCAAAACTTGATACATGTACTGGAGATCTTGTGTCTGTTAAATTGTTCATTCGCCTCAAATGCCATCCTATAACTTCCGAAGAATCGCATACAGGTCCTTCAATTGTTACCTTTTGCCTGTTTGCAGATAATAATGCCATTGGCCATGTCCCAAACACCCTGCAAATTCTCCATATTCATAAACAATAAGCTTAACATCTCTTGGTTAATAATTATATTGAATAGTTGAGATTTTTAGCCTTTTAAGAGTACACTTTAAAAGCAAGATTGGTTAGCTTTAGGCTCGATATATCAACTCAACCATAGCATATGACTAAAGAAAGGTAGTTTAAGTCCTGTTCTGAAAAGATTCTATTGTTCTGTATGCAACTTGGAACGGTGAAAGGGTGTCTTTGAAAATCTTTTGTATTTATCACCGACAGTACAGAATAAAAGATCAAACAATAACAAGATAGGTTTCGTCCAGATTGAAGTAAAATCTAATTAAATTATTGCAAACAGAAAAAGATGAATTTTCTTTATTCAGAAAGTCATGTATTGATGTTTCTTAAAAAAAAAAAAAAACAACTTTGGTATTATTAAAATATAGAGATTCCCATCTACCAAGGTAGAATGTTGGCTACTACTGTTTTTTCTTACTAATATGTCCTGATGTAGATATCACACATCGCTAAAGAACTTTTACATTTAAAAAGGGGGATTAAAAAAAAAAAGAAACAACAACAACAAATAAATTCTTTTGATTTATATGAACCCTATCCACGAGACGTTCCACACCCATTGAGAAGACCTGCAAAAACTATTGCCTTAACAGTTTAAATTAATTTATTAATTTTAAACAAGTTCAGTAAAGATCAAAGGGTAATCAATAAATCAGATGGTTGGAATCATACAAGGTCTCATTAAGAGTAAGAAGCTAAAGAATCAACAAAAAGAGGCCCTATCTAGGTCAGAATTAATTCAAAACAGCAAATTACATGTTTGGCAGCCCTCCGAGGCTCAAATTTCCCAGCACTCAAATTGTGTTATAACTTATCCAAGACTTGGCAACTTTGAGAACTCCACCCACCACCAGCAGACTTCCAACTAATTAACTAATTAATTCTTATGCACAAGAGTCCTGTGTGTATATGTATACATTTTGTATTGTTTTTCTTCTTTTTTTTCTAAAAAAAAAATCTGGTAACATTTTCGAAGAGCTGCTTAAATATTTTCTTCGACAAAACAAGGGCAAATACAAAATCAGACAGTTAATTTTTCGTAAGAATTAGCATAGTGAGGGATATAAAAGCACGTACTCAATTGCTCTGATCTCATCGAAGAAGCTAAGATCATAAACATTGGAAAGTCCAACAAAATGAACGATTCCACTTAGCCGGTGGTGCTCAATGTGATTAAGTGCGACGTTTCTCTGATGATCCCTTTCAACTTCAGGATCTGTAAAATTCTCCTTGGAGACCAAATGCCTATACATAACACCTGTTTTCCTAAGCAGTTCAGACACTTCAGATGAATCTGACTGTGCCTCCACAACAATCCATAGCAATGGTGGAGGAACCAATCTTAATGTGTTTGCTAGCCTCCTTAGCAGCACCTCTCGAAACCTGTCCTTCGTGCTTGATGGAGTAACAATGATAATAAGCTTTCTGGGAATCAATTTAGGCTCTTCTTTTTCTTCTTCCAAGAAAGTTGCTGGTTCGGAATCATTAGACCTTGTTGGGGCTGCCACTGGAGTATCAACCATCAAACTTCTATTAAAATCCCCACTTTCTGTCATGTCTTGATTTAACAGTACTTCAACAGGTTGTGGTGAAAACTCTGATCGATTTGAGGCAACAACACGATTAGAAAAGATTGAAGGCTCACCCGTTGGAGCAAATCCTGTAAAGAATCCCATAAGAAAACATAGCAAGAAATGGACTGTTGCTTTTTTCCATAGTTGGGCCCTTTTCTTTGATCTTTCTAACAAAACCATCTCTCTAAACGGGATACAAAAGCTGGAATCTGACTATTCTGATGAATACTATGGTCACTGTTCCTCAAATCGAACTGAAGATAATTTAATAGGGGATCAGCAGATAATTTAATAGGGGATCAGCGACGTAGAGGACTCAAAGGTGTAATACGGCATTTTATGTTTGATCACTGAGATAAAATGTTTGATCACTGAGAAGGTCTCAGAAGGTTATTGAAAAATGGCGGGAACCAACTGACATACATATGATTAATATTGTGTTTTCGTGTGATTTCATTGGGTGAGGCATTAGCTCAGAAAGCGATTTCTTCAAGTAAAAGAAAGATGATAGAAAAATGATATGAAGGGTCCTCACCAAATAGTTGTTGAGATGCAAACTCATTACCTAAATTGTTGGAACAAAGAAATGCAACCACAATCGGTTACAATCTCTCTTTTAGATTGAGAGTTGACAATATATATGAAAGTATTGCACTGTGTGACTCAAAACTCTGCCAGGTTAACTCAATTGCTAAATAAACACACTCAAATAATAATAAAAATAAAAAAAATATTCAGTTGGTTGGGGGATTTTCGGGCAAGAGTTGTTTGTATACGTTTCGAATTTAGTATTTGAAACTTCATCTACATTGAAAATTATTTATATCACTTTTTTTTTTTGGTGATTGAATATAATAATTGAATTCATGTCACCTTACGATGATAAAATTTACCAGTGGGAGAAAGTAGCTGTTGCATACAGAGCTATGAGATGATGGGTGAAAGGAAAAGAAAACAAGGCTAGATTCAAAATGGGCAACCCCACAAGATCAAGAGTGGAAAGCAATACTTCAGATTCATGGAACTATGTGGGTCCAGCTCTACACCAACTAAAAGGGAAAGAAAATGATATTAACTTGAACATCAAGGGATTGTTGGATCATTGTTTCTAAATGATTTGATGTTCCACAAGCATAAGTTCGCACATCAACAAATGGTAGTGCATGTAGTGAAAAATGCAAAAATTATATATATCTCATCAGGATATTGATTATTACCCACACAATAACACGAAGTTGGCTGATTTCAACTAGGTTTTACTGTTTTATAAATTAAATTTAGCACTCTATATTTTATTTTTTCTTAGAGAAACAATAAAACCGCACTCCAGCACAAAGTTCTCAAACCCATCATTTGCTACTGTACTGTATGATTGCTACATGAGCAACACCCTACCTAAATCGCACCAAATCAAAGTTTCCTGAGTCATGATATATAAAAGGAATCGAGTATGACAGAAGCTAATCCCACCTTGTACATCGACTCTATCTGGTTTCTGTTCTGGCTTTAAGGGAAATTGTCGAAAGAACAGCAAAAATGAATGACAACATAAACTCCTAAACCATTCCCTCCAAATAATAGCCAGCATCTGGTAAAGCCAAATGGGTACATTAACCTTACTCCTGTAGACACCGGTCACTTGTTTCCATTGGAAGAAAAAATGCAGCTGCATGGAAACAGCACTATTCTATATAGGATGTCACCAAAAAAACTGGGCTTTTTTCCAGCAACAAAGTGAAAGAAGTAAAGGAAATCACATTATAGAAGGCAAAACCCAAGAAAAGGCAAAGTTGTTTGTGACCAATTGACTACTGCAATTGCACAATCCAAATGGTTCCAAGCAGGCATAAAAATGGCATGGCCAATAATGCTTCCTCCTCCAGGGAAAAGTAACTAACAATCTCATAAATATGACAAGAAGAGAGATTCAGAACTTGTATCTTAAAGGAAGAAATCCAATGATACGAAGTATGACATTCAATGCGAATTTGTGTGTTCACTTACAACTAAAAACTCAATACTAACAAAACAAAATAAGATAAATAAGCACCAAAATCTGAACCTGAATGCTCAACAGCAACATATCCCCAACAATCGAGGGTAGAGGGCAGCAACAAGAGCCAACACAATCACAGACAAAATTTATCATAAATAACTAAGACAATAAATCCGACTCTTACTCTCAAATTCCAAAAACAAACCATTCACTTCTTTTTGACGGCGGACTTGGTGACCTTGGCACCGGATGGATCCTTCTTGTCCACGCTCTTGATGACACCAACAGCCACAGTTTGACGCATGTCTCTCACGGCAAAACGACCAAGTGGTGGGTACTCTGAGAAAGTTTCAACTACCATGGGCTTGGTGGGGATCATCTTAACAAACCCAGCATCACCATTCTTTAAGAATTTGGGCTCCTTCTCAATCTCCTTACCAGACCTCCTGTCAATCTTGGTCACAAGCTCAGCAAACTTAACTGCAATGTGAGAGGTATGGCAATCGAGAACTGGGGCATAACCGTTTCCAATTTGGCCAGGATGGTTCATGATAATGACCTGGGATGTAAAGTTGGCAGCACCCTTTGCAGGGTCATCCTTGGAGTTTGAGGCAACATATCCACGCTTGAGATCCTTGACAGCAACATTTTTCACATTGAAACCAACATTATCACCGGGTAGGGCTTCCTGAAGAGCCTCATGGTGCATTTCTACTGACTTGACTTCAGTGGTGAGACCACTTGGGCCAAAAGTTACAACCATACCAGGCTTGAGGACACCAGTTTCAACACGGCCCACAGGAACAGTTCCAATGCCACCGATCTTATAGACATCCTGAAGTGGGAGACGTAGAGGCTTGTCCGTTGGCCTCTTGGGTTCATTAATCAAGTCAAGGGCATCGAGGAGGGTTGGTCCCTTGTACCAGTCGAGGTTTGTTGACCTCTCAATCATGTTGTCACCCTCAAACCCAGAGATTGGGACGAAGGGAATTTTATCAGGATTATAACCCACCTTCTTGAGATACGATGATACTTCCTTCACAATTTCATCATACCTTGCCTTGGAGTACTTTGGGGTTGTTGCATCCATCTACAAGGGAGAGAATAATGCAAAAAATCAGGGAAAATTAAGATTTCACTAACACGTGGAATAAAAAAAATTGAACTTTTATGGACAATTCTGGGTAAGAGTACTAGGTCATTAAAAGAATGTTCCAACTCCAAAAAGACTATGAATCTCGTGTCTAGTTATGCAGCACATCATGCTACAAGGGAATGATGTCATGTCATCCAACAGGCATACCAGTAAAGATTAATGGATTACCTTGTTGCAGCAGCAGATCATTTGCTTGACACCAAGGGTGAAAGCAAGCAAAGCATGCTCACGCGTTTGACCATCCTTGGAAATACCAGCTTCAAAACCACCAGTTGTGGAGTCAATAATAAGGACAGCACAGTCAGCCTGTGAAGTACCAGTGATCATGTTCTTAATGAAGTCACGATGCCCAGGAGCATCAATGACAGTGCAATAGTATTTGGTGGTCTCGAACTTCCACAGAGCAATATCAATGGTAATGCCACGCTCACGCTCAGCCTTCAACTTGTCCAAAACCCATGCATACTTGAATGATCGTTTGTTCATCTCAGCAGCTTCCTTCTCAAACCTCTCAATCACACGCTTGTCAATACCTCCGAGCTTGTAAATCAAATGACCAGTGGTGGTTGACTTCCCAGAGTCGACATGGCCAATGACCACAATGTTAATGTGAACCTTCTCCTTACCCATTATAAATTTGAGCTAAATGCTGAAATTTGATGAAAGAAAATTTATTATATCACCAAAAAAACATTATTTTGAGACAAATACGCAAATAGCTCTTATAAACGCTTCAAGAAAGCATATCTATCTATCACTGTTTGAGACGCAAATAAGGTACTCCCAAAACAAAAAGGCACAGTGATTATCACCATCATCAATTATGGAGATACACATTAAATCACACTTATAACATTATCATTAAATCGCACTTGTGCCATAAACAAACCAACATCCCCCACAGATGTGTAAATACTAGTTAGCTTTGAACAGTGGCATCAACTTCATTAGATATGACAAACATAACAAATATGATCAAAAAATAATGATAATAAGCTCCAAAATATTATTTTGCTGGTTATAGCCCACCAATATTAGTGCACAACAAAATCTAAATACAAGCTCCATTTGTTTTAATGGAAAGAACAACGCCTCAAATTTTTTAAATGGGTACTCCTCTTACAGGAACTCATTTTAAAGCCTCCAATCATATATTTTCAGTATCTTAATGAGTTTTTTCTTAGTCAAAAGCACACAAATGTAGAGCACAACAAAATCTAAATACAAGCTCCATTTGTTTTAATGGAAAGAAAAATGCCTACTACAAAATATTGCTTCCGCATTGTAAATTCAGGAATGTTACCTGGGAAATGCAAAAAAAAAAATAAAAAAAAAAAAATTTGCAGTTCTGGAAATAAACACATTTTAAAAAGAAAACCCTAAATATAGCGGATGACTTCCTTTCTTAGTTAATATTTAATGATCTGAATATGACATGCACTAATTAACCAGCAAACAAATACCAAATTTCAAAAAAATAAAGCAAACAAATACCCTTTTAGAAGGATAGATACTTAAATAAATCCCAAAGAACAAAAAGTAAACAAGAACTAGATAAAATTAGCAACATCCAGAAGTGACTATGATGATTACCATTATCAAAGCAAAGTTTCATTGAAAGCGAAAGAGTCAACGAATCTAGTAAGCATATCCAGCAAAACAATCAAAACTCTATCAAGTACACAAACACTGCTTACATACAACAGACGGATTAAAATTGACGAAAAAATATCTATAAACGAACACAAACACTGCTCAGAATATGAGATCAAGATATATATACCACATAAAGTTGAAAGCTCGAATTGAAGTAAAGAAATCACAAACAAATCCAGAACATAGCATGGATTCAAATAATACCACGATAACAAAATTGAACAACATAGAAACAAGAGTTTACAATATTGGCATACCAAATCAAATCAACTGTATCACGTGCAAAAGCAATATTATATATATATACCCACACGGAGAAGAAATTGAAAGAGAGACGAACCTTAAATCTGAATTGATATAAAGTATATATATATATATATATATATATACCCACACGGAGAAGAAATTGAAAGAGAGACGAACCTTAAATCTGAATTGATATAAAGAATCGGGATGGATCAGCCACAAGCTCTCTCGCAAGAGGTGCGTAGAGAGAGCAAGCGAAGAGAGGCATAAAAAAGAGCTCTGAGTCGCTTAAGTAGTATCAAAACTCTCTAACCCTTTCAGCAACAACTAGGGTTTTTTTACCAACCGTTGGATGCTATTTGATCCAACGGTTTAGGGTACACTCTTTCCTTAGCCGGCGTATCAGATTAGATTTCCCAGAGTCCGTTTACACCGTTCTCAAACATCAAATGCCCATATTATCCTTAATACTACTTGAATGATGAGAATTGTTTTCGATGGAATTACTATACCGCCACTCTATTAGATAACTGTTACAAGTGAAACTTGTCCCACGTCGGATTTAGATGGGGGTTGAAGTGTGTATAAATGGGTGAGTATGCAGCACTACCCAATAATTCGAGCTTTTGGGTAAATGGGCAAGCGCCCACTCGTTACAGTTGGTATCAGGGCCAAACCCAATCCTTAATCCGGTGTCACGCCAAGCGCCCGGCCAGGAAGGCGTCCGGATCTGCCTCCGGATAGGCAAGGTGGTCCGACCGCAACGAGGGCGTTGCGTGGGTTCGGGTGGGGGAGAATGTTACAAGTGAAACTTGTCCCACATCGGATTTGGATGGGGGTTGAAGTGTGTATAAATGGGTGGATATGCAGCACTACCCAATAGTTCGAGCTTTTGGGTAAATGGGCAAGCGCCCACCCGTTACAATGACCTTTTTGTCATGCCCCGCAACCAAGAGGCTATACCACGCAGGTGCTACGCAAATGCCCAACAGACGATGACATGGCAGCCTGCATGGACCGAGACCTTTTTAGACTTCTCTACACAAGTTTGGAACTTTTCAGAATTCTCTAGATTAGTGTGGAGTTGTCTAGCATTTTCTGAACTTGTCTAGAGTTATATAGAATTCTCTAGACTTGTCTTATACATTGTATATAGTTCTAGAATTATGTAGATAGTTCTTTGGAGGGTTCTAGACACTCATTCTATGCCACACATTTGTACACATCCAGAATGTTCTTGTAAGGGCCAAAGGCCTATAAATAGGAGGTGGGAGTTCATTTGCTCCTCACCAAGCAACCAAGTTGTAATCTTCTCCTTGTAAGCAATACAAATTCTATACATTCCCAAACTCTCTTGCTCACTTGCCTAATCTCTTCCTACACACACATACTTGCAAGCAAGCACTTGTCTAGCCTTAGTCTTCACTAAGCTAGCACACTCAGGTAGGCTGACTTAGCGCTTCAAGGGGGCTTGAAAGTGTCTAAGACCGTACGTGAGCTCGGAAAGGTCCAAGTCCGTGACAATTGGTATCAGAGCTAAGGTCGTAAGGCGTCACACCTTGTGTGAAGGAAGCTATGGTGAAGCATTCAGATGTGGTTAACGTCCAGGAGGAGGAGCCGCGTGGAAAGGATGATACTCGCCCTCCAGTCGGGGTGAGGATGAGGGCTAAGTCGAAGGACATCATGGCGGGCTTAGAAGCACGCTTAACAAACATAGAGGGGTCCATGGCCAACGTGATTGGCCAGCTTGAGGATGCTCACCAGCGCATGGACGAACTGGAGTCGGAGGACGCTGAGGTCCAGAATGCTGTCAAAGGGTCATTTAATGCCCTAAGAGGTGATTTTCAGCAAGAGCTCCAAGCACTTCAGGAACTTATGTTGGGCGAGTTTGGCACCCTACGTGGCTATGTTGATTGGGAGCTTAGCACTTTTCGCGAGCAAATGGAGGAAATGCGAGTGGACTGGGCATTGTGCAAACGGGCGGTGGCGTCCAGCATAGCTACTACTGGGGTAGTAGCACCCCGAGTTGATATTCCCAAGCCTAAGTGCTATGGTGGGAATCGGGTAGCAAGGGAGTTGGAGAACTTCCTATTCAGCATGAAGCAGTACTTCGAGGTTACGGACATAACGGATGAGACTATCAAGATACGGACGATGACCGTTTACCTCACTGACCATGCCATGCTATGGTGGAGGAAAAAGTATGGTGACATGGGCAAAGGTATGGTCTCTATTGATACTTGGGCTGATTTTATAAGAGAAATTAAGAAGTATTTTTATACTGAGAATGCCGAGGATGAAGCTAGGGGCAGACTCCGAAGGCTAAAACAAATTGGGTCGATCCGGGACTATGTGAAGGAATTCACTAACTTGACTCTTGAGATTCCGGATCTATCCCACAAGGACTCTTTTTTTTTCTTCATGGATGGTTTGCAGTTGTGGGCCAAGACAGAATTGAGGCGGCGCAACGTGCAAGACATTGCCACAACTATTGCAGAGGCAGAGTCCTTTATTGATTTCAGCTCCAAGAAAGATCCCTTGTCCAAGTCAAAGGACAAAGACAAAGACAAGGACAATGGGCGGTATGCCGACAAAAGTGGGGGAGACAAGGGCGCTGCACCACACAAAGATTGGTCCCGTAAGCCAAGTGGTGGCTATGGTGGTAGAGAAGGAAGGGAGAACAAGGAGGGAGCACCCAAACCCAAGGGCTCATGCTTCATATATGACGGGCCATATTGGGCGAGAGATTTCCCGAAGAGAAAGACCTTCAATACCATGACAAGCCACCATGAGGAGCAACAATAACAATAGGAGGCGCAGATGGGATCGCTGTAAATCCTTAATGCCATTAAGGCTAAAATAGAAGTCCTAAGGCGGCGGCTAAAGGGCTAATGTTCGTGGAGGCGAGCATCAATGGGACACCCACATGTGCTTTAGTAGACACAGGTGCATCCCACAACTTTGTGAGCATTGACGAGGCCAAGAGGTTGGGCCTCATGTATAGCAAAAAAGGGGGCTCCATGAAGGTAATCTACTCGGCGGCAAAAGCTATACAAGGCATGGCACGCAGCATCAAGGCATGCATTGGTGAGTGGGGTGGCCACATGAACCTATCGATGGTACCTATAGACGACTTCAAACTAGTCATTGGGTTGGAATTCTTAGATAAGGTGAGAGTCTTCCCCATTCTTTTGCTAACACTATGTGCATCATGGAAGGCAACACAACATGCATGGTGCCGGTGGAGCGAAGTGCCAAGTTGGAAGTCCAAGCCTTGTCATCTATGCAGTTCAAGAAGAACTTCAAGAAGGGAGAGACTAGCTACCTTGCTACCTTGCTGGAGACACCCGATGATGAGCTAGTCCATTCCCCACAAAAAGAGGTGCCTAAGGAGATACGAGCCGTGCTAAACAAGTACACGGACGTGATGCCTAAGGAGCTGCCCAAGAAGCTTCCACCTAAGAGGGAGGTGGATCACAAGATTGAGTTAGAACCGGGTTCTAAACCCCCTACTTTGGTGACACCCCCAGAGTTAGAGGAGTTGCGGAGGCAACTCAAGGAATTATTAGATGCGGGCTACATTCGACCCTCAAAGGCCCCATATGGCGCACCGGTGTTGTTCCAGTAGAAGAATAACGGGTCCTTGTGCATGTACATCGACTACCGGACACTCAATAAGGTGACTATCAAGAACAAGTACCCCATCCCTCTCATTGCCGATCTTTTTTATCAGCTTGGTAGAGCACGCTACTTCACTAAGCTAGACATGCGCTTGGGGTACTACTAGGTGCGGATAGCGGACGGGGATGAGCCTAAGACTACATGTGTGACGAAGTATGGCTCTTATGAGTTCCTTGTTATGCCATTCGGCCTAACCAATACCCCTGCTACTTTCTGTATTTTGATGAACAAACTCTTCCATCCTTACTTGGATTGCTTTGTGGTGGTGTACTTGGATGATATTGTTGTGTATAGCACCACTCTAGAAGAGCATGTGCAACACTTGAGGGCGGTCTTCCAAGTCTCGGAAATTTGTTTAATTGTTTTCTGTTTATTAATTATTTTTGGTTCATTAATTTGTTTAATTGTTTTCTGTTCAGTGTTATTTGACATTAATTTGTTTAATTGTTTTCTGTTCAGTGTTATTTGAATTAATTAGTTAGTTTATGTGTTTTCTTTGGTTTAATTAATTATTTGAATTATTGTGATTATTTAAGTTAATTGTTTTAATTATTTATTTGGCTAAATCGTATGTTATTTTCTGTTTTACGGTTAACTTGGAATTTTTTATTGTTTCTTTAATTGAATTAGTAACTTGGAATTTTTATTGTTGAATTAGTAATTACATGTTTTAATTTGTGCCTAGGTATAAAAGTGTGGTTAGGGTTTCAGTTCTGTCTAGGTTTAATTTAATGAGCCGACAGGGTTTAAAATAAAATAGGTTGTGTTTATGGGCCGCGTTTCAGACTTTAGGTATAATTGGACTTAGGGTTTTGGTTGCCTATAAATATATAAGATAAGTCTGCTTAGGGAACAGAATAATACAACCAAAACACGTCTGTGGAATTAGAAACGAGGAACAGAGGAAGTTGCAGTGGGAGTCGCCGGAGATTGTAGAAGACAACGTAGAGATTTTAACAAAAATCTCAAAAGGCAAGTTCTAACCTTACTCTCTCCCTTATACTCGTGTTCTTTGCATACTCAATGGTTCCAGGATGAATTACATGTTTAAAAATAAAACAAACGTTATCTGTTTCATGCTTGGAGTGTAACTGAAACTGAATTTGGTTTAAAACTTGTAAACTGTTTAACTTTGAACTGTCTTATGTAATTCATGATTTAATCCATATTAGTAGCATAATAAGGACTGAGTTAAGGACTGGAATCTTCTAGGATTAAGTGAACCTCTCTGTAAACCTCTACTGTGAATTGTCGGAGGCGTAAACGGCGACCGGAGAGGAGAACACGAAGAAGAGGAGGGGGAGAGCCGGCTCCTATTGGATTGGAGCCGGCTCCCCTTGGACTGGAGGCGGCTCCAATGGTCTAGGAGCCGGCTCCAGGGCCATTGGAGGCGGCTCCAATATTCTGGAGCCGGCTCCCGGTTGTTTATGCGTGAGTTTTGATTCTGTGTGTTGTTTTTTCAAATTTTTTCAGTGATTAGGCTTCCTAGTGATTGTTTTAATGTGTTTATTGGTGAATGAATACTGTAATGGGTGATTTAGGAGTGGTCTAGGGTAAACATAAATATGCAAAGACCAGATTATATAAAATTGGAC